TCGAAGACTCGCTGATAGTTAGACTGTCTTGCTTATTTATGTCAAGGTTATCAAATACATACGGATGATTGCTCTTATATTTTCGAAGATTAAAACAACCTAATTTTAATGCATTGTATACTGACTTTTGTATGTAAATTAATTGCTGAGGATCATCAGCTCCTGTTATTAAATCATCCACATAAAAATCGTTTTGGATGATGTTTTTGATAAGTTCATCATCTTGTTCCTGTCCTAGCTGCCACAAACGCCGTGTACTGAGATAACTTGCGCTTGCTGTGCCATAGGTTAAGGTATTTAAGACCAACGTTTGGATGGGGCGTGACTCATCCTCTCTCCACAAAATTAGCTGCAAGTTCCTATCACTTTCGTTTACAAGCACCTGCCTATACATTTTTTCGACATCTCCAGTGAGTAGGTACTTGTATTACCTTGCCCGAATTAAGACGGAAGAGAGGGTGTCTTGGACATTGGGGCCTACCATCAAAATGTCATTCAATGAGTAACCTGATGTAGAAGAAGCTGAGCCGTCGAATACTACGCGGAGCTTGGTAGACTCGCTCTCTTGACGTATGACCGCATGATGACACAAGTAGTACGGTGGGCGAGGGACAGGTGACCTATTATAGTTAGATACAGAGAGATGCCCTAATTCTGCATATTCTCTTATGAATTCTGTGTATTCAGATTTAAGGTTTGGATTAGGCTTGAACCGTTTTTCTAAATTAATGAATCGTTTTTTCGCAAGATTGTAGCTATCACCTAAACAATCTATTGATTCTTTCAAAGGTAATTTGACACAAAACCTACCTTCTTCATCTCTTATGGTATTAGCGAGAAAGTGCTTTTCACACTCGCTTTCATCTTCACTTATGATTGACTTTTTCGAAACTTCTTCTAACTCCCAAAATTTAGAAACTAACTGTTCTATTTTTCATTTTGCGATGAAGAGACAATGGCGTGATTACAGTGTATCCTATTGCTAGATACTGCTGAATTTATAGGGCCAGAGATTATCCAACCTAACTGTGAACTCCTTAACTTAGGATTGTTTGGTCCTAGAGAACGTTGTTCGTTGCCTAGAATGTCCCAGAAGAGATCAGCACCTATTAGTACATTTGGGAGCTGGCTGATAAAACATGGGGTCAGCCAACTGAATATTTTCTGGTAATTTAATTGACTTGATGTCAACCGGCGTCTTTGGTAAACGACCGGTGAGCTCATTTAAAACAAAACACGATTACATTGCACTGAAATTACTATTTGTTGCTTTCAATTTAATATCACAACTTTCAATTACATTCATTGAAGAAGTGTTGCCTATACCAATGACCTTTAGTGTGTCAATGTGGCGAGACTTTAATGACAATCTGGTCTTTAAGGACTCAGATATAAATGACGATTGGCTTCCGCAATCTAAAAGAGCACGAACTTTGACCTTTTGATGATCAACTGGATTCGATGATAGCAGTAGATAATAAGACCTGATTTGTATTGTGATTAGAATAGTTAACGATAATTTCATTTTCATCTTGTTCATCAATAAAGCGAGGTGGCTTGAGGAGGATGATGGGCGATGGAGCAGACTATTGTGACGCTCGGTGCAGCCGCGTTCACGGCATGGACCCATGCGACACTTGCTTTCGGGGTGACCTTGTCTCAAACAATTAACACACAATTTATACTTCGTCACATCCATCATTCGCTCGTCAACCCCCTTCGCGTTAAACGTTGGACAATCATATATATATGTAAATATATACATAAATGTAGTATTTGGTTTCTTGCTATAATTATTGCTGGTGCTCGCAAACGATTTTATGACATTGTTTTGATTTTGACCTTGCCTTTGAATATAATTATTATTAGCTATAGAACGCACAGGGGCACTTTGACACGCTAGTAACGTCAGACCGATTATTACGATTCAATGACTCGAGCACATCAGCACGGTCTATCAAAAATTTATAAAATTGTTCGAGGGTAGGTACGTCGCCTTCCAAATTGTTGCGATATTCCTCCCATTTTACCAACGTATTGATATCTAACTTAGATGATAACATAAATATTATTAGTACATCCCATTTGTCAGTGGGTTGTCCTAGGCTTGTTAAGGTGCGCAAATTTTTGGTCACGTGGTCAACCAAAAATCGTAGAGATCGCTCTGATTCCTGTGGAAGCTGTTTAATATTAAATAGTGATGTTAAATGATGATTAATCAATATTCTTTTGTTGTCGTATCTAATGCAAATCATCTTCCACGGTTCAGCATAATTGTTGGTTGACACATCGCAAATTTGAAATAGTCCTGGCCGCGTCGCCTTGCAAATAAGATACGAGGTAACGGAATTTATGGATGTCTGATATGCGATCAGATTTTCAAAAGTATCCCCAAACTCCAACCAACGGAAAAATGCGCCATCAAATTTGGCTATTTGAATTTGAGGGAGCTTCAACCCTAATTCGTGGGGGTGATTAGGATCATCTATGCAACATGACGCGTTGTGACCGTAATTGCGCCTTTTTTCGCATTCTAATTTTTTGGAGAATTTTTCGACTAAAGTTTTGGCCTTTGCTATATTTATAATTATATCTTGCTCAATTTTATCACGTTCCTCAATTTCAGCCGAAATATTTTCATAATTTAAAACCTCTATTTATTATAAAAAATAAATATATGTATAAACAATACGAAACGAGAAAACCTAAAATACGAAACCAACGTTACTTCGTAAAATAATTTAACTTTATATCAATTGAGTGACCTTTTATTCCTTAATATATTGCCATTGACCTGTTTTACGGAATAGTGAACATACAATTGAATGATTTATGTATTAATTGAGATAATATGGCGATAAATAGCTAAAAGTTAATTCCTTTGTTCACTTTTTTACACATACGGGTAGGTAAAAAAAGATGATGCAATGTTGGACTAAATAACAAATTTACGTGCATAAAACGCTGTAAAACTTGTCTACAAACACTTAATTTACACAAATGACGAACGATTTTGAATACTATTTTGTTAGTTATTAGGTTTTTTAGGAATTAGTTAAGGAAGGACACTTATCTTAGCGGACGAGCTCGTAACTGCTCGATGTGAAACTTTAGCTGATTCACTGCTCGAATCTTCTTTGTTTTTCTGCTTTCCAATACAGTCCGTGATTTTAGAAATATCCACTGCAAGGCTCCATCCAAGAGGTTTGGCTTTAATATAGGAATTATCTGCTCTTTCCATTGTGGTGGAATTTTTCCAGATTCCATAACAGAGTTTAAAATATTAATAAAATATAGAAGACGTGTATCGCTCATATGAGCAAAAAAGGAATACATGATACCATCTTTCCCGGGTGTAGAGTCCTTAACATTTGTTAAAACTTAAGTTAAACGCAGAAGTGTAACACTACTTTACGCCGGTCTTCTGTGAGGTAGTGGTACTTACCCGGATGGACATGCCCATTCGTGCAATAGTGAACACTGTTGCGTGGTCCTACCATAGTAAACGAGTAAAGGGAGCATTAAGGGGATAATTGCGATTACAACCTGTGAAATTAGTCAAACTATCACCGATGTCATTGACATTATTGATGTGTTCTCATGGGCTCTATGTAAAGAAGAAATCGGGCTATAACTTAGTTGTGGTTGAGGAACAAAGGGAGGAGCCAAATTATGCAAAAATTGATCAGACATAGGTGGCGGTAAACTGGGGGGTGAATTATTGAAAGCCGATCTTCTGAAACCTCTAATATTTTGCCAAACTAAAGATGGGTTAAACTTCAGGTGAGAGGCTTAACAGAAACTTTTCCATCCTTCCCATTTCTTTTAAATATTTTTTAATTGCCATTAATAGCCGTATTTAATATTTCAAAATTTTCTTCTAAACTTCATAAATTATAATTTAATTCCGCTTTCTTCCTTTCTTCGACATCCCAGGAACACTCACTGTTCCACCAGGGAGGCAATGGAATATTATTTAAAGAAGGCTTCTTTGATGGAAAAACTTCGTCAGCAGTGTCAATGATAGCATGTGCAATAGCTTCAGAACACAGATACTCATCACCTTGGCTTAAGAAGGAAACAGTTGAGATCTTATTATCTAGGGCAGTTTTGTATAAATCCCAGTCTGCGCTAGCCAACTGATATTTAATTCGGAAAGAAGTTTTAGTATTATTAATATTTTTAAAAGGTAAATTATTTGTTTATAATGGGGAAGTGACCATTAGTGGAGTTTAAGGTTTGCCGAATCAATAATGAGGCTAAACTAGGTAAAGAAATGGAAAGGTCAGGAACACTTTTACCTTCATTAATATTGATTCTTCGTGTAGGAGTGCAATTATTTAAAATACAAAGATTAAGTGATTTTATTTGTTGCAGTGCAGTGGGAGGCGTGACAAATACAGCAAAATGCCTCATCTTCTGATGTACAGCTGCTTCCAACATGACCATCTATGCCACATTTAAAGCATGATTCGACGAGGAATTCATCTACACATATCCTTGATATGTCCATATCGACAATATTTAGAATATTATACATATAGTACGGTAAACATATAAGTCTACAGGAAAAGAATTAAAATATAAGAAAATTCTTTTAGGAGGAATTTGATCATCAAAAGTCAGTATCAAATATAATATCAATAAAACTGGCTTTATTATCAATAAATGGTTTCTTTTTTAGTCGCCTAGCTTTTAAAACACTACCACAATCTGGAGGAACAGAAACATCCTGGATCGCCTCTTCTGTAGACCATTCTTTGGGAATCATTAAATGAATAAAGTTATCGCTGGTAAAGTTATTAGCGTCTGAAAATTGTATATAAATATTGTAAATATATTTATGTAATGTAAATAAATATTGAGGGTGGTTTCTTTGCTACAGTGTCAACTGTAGTAGGTGTTAGTGTTGTTGCTGTTGCATTGACGGCCGCCGATGTGTGCAATGATCACAAGGCGAACCTGAGATTTTCTAAATGACGGAGATGGAAGAGGCACGTTCAGACTATGTGGCCATTGATGGCGGCGGCGTCGTGCTCTTCCTGCGCGTGAAGCGAAGCTTAGTAACCCAATACTGAATAAGTTTTAACAAATATAGTAAACTAAACAAAATTTTCTAATAGCAAGTTAAGGAGCACATAATTTAGAAATAGAATGTTTGAGCATATATACTCCTCGGGGAGTTTAAACTCAATACAAAAAAGTTTATAAAAATGAATAGCTGAATGTGTTCCTAAGCTCAAATCTCGAGAACAGCTGAACCGATTTCGTTAATTCTTTTTTTATAATATTCCTTACAGCACAAGGCGACCGCAATTATTTTTAAATTCCACACTTACTTGTACGGCAGATCCGAGCCGTTTAATTTAAGCACATATCATAAGCCCTTAATTTAAATTTTTCGGCAGGGTAAGGGCGTGCTGACCGTGTCGGCTAATAGATTACAAAGGTAGGTTCTTTCGGCTTACAATTATGGCATTGAATACATATCGAGCGCGCGAAATTGTGTCGATTTAGCATGAAGCTGTTTTTCCTAATCTCAATTGAAACGATTTCGTTAATTCTTTTTTTAGTAAAGTCCTCAGCCGTTCATTAACGTCGGAAAACGATAAGGGAGGCGAACCGTTTTCAGTAGCGGCTGACGGGGGCCCGGCCGAGGCGCAGTTGGAGGAGATGGCTTCATACGTGAATTTCGTGTGGGGCGAAGACGCGGCACTCATCTCCCCACAAGACGTCCTGCGGAAAACGGAGGCCGACAACTTACCATCACGGGTAATGCCGTTTACTTTGGAAGGATGGCCGCCTAATTATGCAAAAAATAAATGCACGGAATTAAATAATAACAAACCGTATTTGGTGGCAGTTGATGCGTATTCTAAATGGGTAGTTTACGATGTCAGCAACGGCTATCGTTCAAAAGTAATTGAAGAAAAGATATGCGTTTTGATGTCCCGATTAGACATAATTCACACAATTTGTAGTGACAACGGGTCTTCTTTCATGTCTGATGAGTTTAAGAAAATCTTTTCGTCAAATGGAATAACACATGTAACGTCTCCAACGTACCACGCGCAAAGTAACGGACTAGCTGAAAGCTACGGTAAAATAATAAACATTACCGTGGCAGACGAAACGTTCACTTTAATGTGGGTGATGTAGTTTTGATAAAAAACAATTATGGTCACAAATCTATTTGGGAAAGATGGCAAATTTACGAATTTAAGGGGGAGACATTGCCCTTAACGAATCAAAGGATGTTTTGGAGACGCAAGTACCGCTATATGTACCTCCAATGATCCTTTCACATAATAACCCAGTGGAACGACCCGGACCGTCTACATCTCAAATAACGACACCTACACCAGCTCAGACGACGATGGCCCCGCCGCCAGCGCCGGCAGCCGACCCCACCACCTCTCCGGCACCATCTTCAGAGGCATCGAAAATAAATATTCGATACAGGTTACGACCTCGTAAACCTATTGTATATCCGAAATAAAGAATTTTGTGTGTTTTTCTTGATATGTATGAATTCGTTAACATGTTTTCATTTTAAAGGTGGAGGGATGTTAGTGTATAAGTGGGTATATTAATAATGGCGTCACCCGGCGACGCTGGATTCGTCAATTGTAAAAATATATATTTTAACTGCTTTTTAATTCTCTCGTGTCCTGTGTTCCGAACTAACAATAAAATATTTAAAAAAAGTTAATAAATACAAAATTGGAGTGGTCTTTGAAAAACCCAACCTGGCAAATGGCTTTCTGGATAATGTTTCTTTCTCTAAAAGAACATAGAGTTAACTGGGGTAATCTCCTCGGAACCAGTGGATATGTCCAACAAAAGAATCTTCAAAGCGTTATCGCTTACTATTAAAAAAGTTATCTGTATAACACGCATTATGCGAAAAATCAGAACTGATGGTAACATATCCCTCCAGCCCACGCAAACAGTGGCGGTTACGTTTGCGAGTTCAACTTCGTTGCCAGATTACGTATACCTGAAGGTATGGAGATTGTCGGTGCTGCCTTTCATTCCTCCGGTAAAACAGTGCTTTAAGTTCTTGAGGCATGGTCACCTATCTAAATACTATAAAAATTCTGAAAGATGCTCTGCGTGCGGTGAGGGACACAATTTCAAAACTTCTGTTTGTGTGAACTGTAAAGGTGAATGTGATCACATAGCCATATCCGGTAAATGTGCGATGAAGCAAAAGAAAATAATAGACAACAAAAATAATGTTATTCATCGTCCCTTTGCGGCGGTCTTCAATGAAAACAGCTCTCCAGCTTCAAAAAAAGATCCTCAGGATATTTTTAAAGTTATATTGTCGGACAAAGTCATCTTAAAATTTTTAGCTGAATATTTATCCATCAACACACAAAATATTGTTGATGTCATCAAGGACGTATTTCTGCATAAAACAACTCATCGTCACATTCACCACCCAGACAACAATAAACATTATGAAATGCACAAAGCATTTGACATCAAAAAAAATTATTAAAAATTTCTTAGTGACAATCATCAATATAGGTTCCACTGAAAATCAGCTTTCATGAAGTTATTAAACTTCGTGAATTTAACGCTGAGTGGAAACCTTTTTGGTGCACCAATAAGCATAAAATATTTTTTTTTCTTTCTAACTAAATTACTGTGTTTATGTCTTTTATGTATTTTTTTTTTGTTTATGTACCAAATAAATATTTTTCTTTCTTTCTTTCTTTCAATCATATACATAATCTATTAATCTCAGAGACCTGGTTAAAACCTCACATGAAACTTAATATAAGGGGCTACACTATTCTGAGAAACGATTGTGGTAATGATCACAATGGTGTGGCTATAATTTTACATAACAGTCTGATCTATCAAAATATTTCAACTTTTTTTGACAATTCTTTGCAAAACATTGTAGTACAAATGCAAATATATTGTCAGTTGTTACAGTCCTCCGAATTCTACTCCAAGCTTTAATAAGGCAAAATTTAATAACCTAATTATAAGTATTGTCCTAGTCCTTGATAGTCCAATGATAGTAGATGGTGATTTTAATGCACACTATACGGTGTGGGGTCGTGGTAGTAATGATTCTCGCGCCAGAGACATTATCGATGTTATGGAGGAGAATTAGGCTTTAATCGTTGCAAGCCAAATGGTCTTGGCCTAACTATGGTCTTATCCTTGGTCCTTTCTTGCGAATGGCAGATCTGTGAATCACCTCTTGGCGGTTACCATCTTCCCACTGTAACAAAATATTCATTCTCATCGATGAATTATATCCGTATAGCCAATTCTAGTAGTGATGTTAAACATATAAAACCTAAGTTGATAGATTGGGCTAAATATACACAATATGTTAATAACATCCCATCTTGTATTTTCATCTGATCCTATAGAGATGCCTAGTCTTATATTCTGCAGTCGATTCTTCTGTATTTCGCAAAACTATTTATTTTATTATATACAACCGGGGCGTGGTGAGAAATCGTGATAGGTGCAATAATTATATTAATTATTTATATGTATTGACAATATACAATATATACACATACAATTAATAATTAAACACATACATACATACATACATATTCTTATACTTTAAACGAGCAATTCTTGTGTATATACATACATACATACATACACAGGGTGTTACAGAAAGGTGTTGTAACATTTAAAGGCGTGTATATATATCAGACTTTGAATCAAATGGCATAATTTTAAAATACGAATCTAAGCATTTTTTTGACGATAAAAATTTAAAAAATTATTAACTGTAACAACCCTGATTATAGAAGTCACTGACCGCGCATCGGTGTTATCACTCCAAACTCACACACGCATACATCTTGTAACGACCTATTAATAATAATAAATATTATTATTAATTAGTCATAATAAAGATCAATTAAGATGAAAGTAAAACGTTTAAGAACGTTTAATCACAATAAAAGTTAATAATATATACTTAAATTAAAGAAATATAAGTGTTAGTATGAGAAAATGATATTACCAAAAATTGATAAAAAATAGTTAAAAATCACTTAAAATACTCAAAAAAGGATATTTATTAAAAATATAGCAAGATACGATCACTATTATGTCCATTAAATACAATTCCATACTTAGTGATTTCTAAGGGAAGTACTATGTACCGTGCGGGAACACATTTGTATGACCGCACATATGTAAGTACAGAGGTCGATCGCGACTCTTAGTACTATAGTCAAAGTACATTGTATGAACGTCCCATACCAATATCATATGGAAGTAAGGTCTAATGAATAAAAGTAATAATATGTGAAGGCTCAGAGAAAAAATAATGAATATATAAATATAATGAAGAGCAATGAATGACTTGGGACTTTATAAGACATATTACTATGGAGTTGCGTGGTACTTCTGTACGACGATATGGTCTACGGTAAACGTGGAACCATGAATGGATATGTCTTCAGTGGTGGACATATCATCGATAGCTGGTGGTAGTTGGCGTCTTAGTGACCATCACTATGATACGTTGGCTGTCATTCGGCATAGTAAGAGTTTGGTGGTAGTTGGCGTCTTAGTGTGTTGCACTATGATACGTCGACTGATCATCTGACTTTGGGGAGTCTGGTGGTGGCTTGCGTCTTAGTGTATTCCACTATGATACGTTGGCTATTACTTGGCTTGGGTGGGGGTCCGTTGGTGGTTGGCGTCTTAGTGTTTACGCTATGATACGTCGACTATCTTTCGGATCGTGAAAGAGTATGTTTGGACACTTCGTGTGTTCCGAGTATATTCTAAACTTTGGAGCTGAAGTTGATTGGAGTTGTATTGGTGTGGTGTGAGGGTGTGCCACCTACGCGATAGTCACATTGATGCGTGCGGCTATATGCAGTAATGCGTCTTGTGGTATTTGCGGGGTGATCTGCGCCTAATATCATTGCATCGTATGATTCTGGTTGACGGAGGTTCGAGATGATGATGTCTGCTGTGTATGCGGATAGGCTGTATGTTGGCGTGTTGACCTGCGATAGTTGTATTGATGCATGTTGCATTTAGTGACATTGCGTCTTGCGACATTTGCTTGGGAGACGACGCTATTCATAATGGCCGAGTCTGCGTCTCGGTTTGATGCACATCTCAGTAGATTTGTCCAAGTCGGGTTCCTGATGACGGAACTGCAGACTGTCTGACCTCTTTATACGTTTTATCATTATTAACGAATCTCAGTAAAGTTCCCACCGTTCGAACGAATAATGGCAACTTGCTGGTGGGTGAGACAAACTTGATCGAAAATACACTATACTCAACGTCAGAGACACTGACAAATAAATATATGTTGCCAATTATAACCCTTCTGATGGCTAAACATAAAAATCACAACTATGGCTATATCTGACTATTTCAATGGTTGGTGGAGCATAGGCGTTTACCTCATGTGGATGGTAGCTGGCGGGAGAAAACCTCTCAAGGCTGCGGCGATGCCGTGCAACGTTTTAACCATACCCTTGGGGCTACGCGCTCTGCGACGAAATGTCGTGCTAACCTTTTTAATGGTGGTGATGCCAAAACACTAACAATCACGTCTGCAGTCGCGGCGATCTGGCAAAAGTGGTGGCGCTTACGGAGGGCTTATTATATCATAGGGCCAGAGTGCCTGATCTTTAACACATGCCCAAAACCGTATTGACGTACATTCACGAAGACTGGATTTGTCGTCGGCTTGTATGACGTTTACACGCATTGACATGCGCGACTTCGGTCAAAGTTTGTGCTTACGCACTGCCAAGGGGCCAAGCCCTCTTTATGCTGGTAAAAAAACAGCTTTGCAATGGACTTCGGTCCTTTCCCCAACTTTTTGTCCCTCTTCTGGGGGGGGGGGCGCAATATGTTGGTTGGCGCTCACCGCACACGGCGTTGGTGAGTGTTTTCATGGAGCCGTGTGCCTTCCCTACATTTTTTTAAAATGTGGGGGAGCCGTAGACTTGTATCGGGTGTGTAAAATTGATGTGAGCCCTTTTCAAGAGAGAAGGGATATTATTTTAAAATTATATTGTAAGCCCTTTACAAGCGTGAGAGGGAGTATACTATATACTCTGAGCCCGTCTCAAGCGAGTCGGGATTAGTTAATAAGAAAGCAATCTAGCATTATCTCTGGCTTATACCACAACTAGTGAATATTTATCTATCCAAGATCCACCTAAAAGAATCAAGTTACTAAATAAACACAACGTAAATGCGGTCCTACCGAATATGACGATCACAATAATATTTTATACGGCTAATTATTACCTTTAGAAAGATCCTTTAGAAAGATCAATAATTTATCCTGGTCACGTAATGATGTTATATGATTTATTCATATAATGGGGGAAAAAATATATAAGTTATAATTATATATACACAATAAAGGGGGGGTGCGAGTTACAATCTGATCGCCCGACTTATTCCCCTCTCCCTCCACTCCTCGTTACGTCATTACCCCA